CGTTTCTTCGGCGTCTAAGGACATCCCTCGCTAAGGGAGACAGGTAGCCTGGCCGTAAATCCACTTAGTTCTTTTAATTTTCAATTCGATCTGTTCCCATTTTATTTTGCTTAGTGAGCGTGACCAACTTTTTAATTTTTTTTCTGCTTCTTTCCTTATGTTTTCAACTTAACCCGGTGGAACAGTGAGAATGTGAGCACTTTGAGAAGTGTTGTGTAAGTTGATCACATTGGCTTTTGTAATTGCAGATCCTTTCTATGTCCGTCGTCCGGTGCTCCACTTATTGTTGTTTCGCACTTTCCTTTTCATACGTCAGCACGAGCCCGATCTCGCTTACATCACTCACGATCCTCGATCGGAAGGTACTAGATCGAAGATCAGTAGAGTTTTCATTGGCACATTCCTACATTTGTCGTTGCTAACCATTTTTCGATCATCCAGCTTCCATTTTTTTTCTGATCATGGAAAGATGGTAGGTCGAAGGGGGTCGAAGGTCGTGTGGGCCGCTTGAAATTATTAGCATACCTTCTGCTCGATGGGCTCTGAACACTGATTATGAACCTGTCTTCCATAACTGTAGTAGACCTCTCTGTACGAAGTTAGTGAGGTTTTCACGGGGAGCATATCTTCGAAATAAATTTCGGGTGTGAAGCGCTTCGTGTATGGCTGCGTTCATACTTTGCGGCAGCGTCTACCAGCCAGCACAGCGACTAGGAGTACGGTAGTGTGTAGCAGTACGGTGCGGTTGCACACGCCACAATTTCACGACGCCTAATCCAGCTATCTGCTACCTTCCTTTCCATACACTCTACATACTCCTAGTCGCTGGTGGAAGCTGGCAAACGCTAGACTGATACCCATACTTTCCCAGCCCGCTGATGGTCGCTACGGGCTGGTAGACGCTAGTAGACGCTGTCGTCGTGAGATGATATCTATACATTCTTAGTCGCTGACGCGGGCGGACGCTCGAAACGCTGATAGTCGCCGGTGATCGTTGGTGGACGTTGCCGCAAAGTATGAACACAGCCTAAGACAAATTGCAACGAATTGCATAGCGCCGTGTCACAAATGAGTTACCGTGCTACATTCGGTTTAGGCTTACGCTTGAAACTCGTATTATGTGTGGGTATGCTCCCCTCCCCCCACCCCTACCCTAACAAACCTCCGTAAATTTGCGAGGAGGTGCTTAAAAAATATGGAAGGTGGACTCGTGATCACCATCCGTCCATAGACCATTCACTTTACATCTCGTTTCAAGCGGGCACTTTGACCTACCACCGTTCCCTTAGTTGATTCTCTTAAAGTGTTTCCTTTAGTACGGAGCGTCTCCAAAACGCAACAGGGGATTCTGTCGAGGAACTCCGTCCGTTCGACTTCTCGGAAGTTGAGGTCGTGATTTTACTTTCCACATTTGAAGCTTTATTTGTATGCTTTTATCTATATCACCGTATTTTGAGTACATTTCTTGACAAGTTTCAGTGCGTGCACTTTGAGCAGCTTGGGTGCAAATTACGTCGTTCCAGTTTGGCAGCTGGTGGAGTGGCATGGAAGAGTCCGAGCAAAGATGACAGAAGGGTTTGTTCGTTGTCACTGATATGTACTGTTGTATATAAAAGCTGCAGCATATGTGGCCATCAAATTTTTTGCAAGCTTTTTACTTAACAAGGAGTTTTGTCATAATTCTTCATAGAACTTCGTATTTTTGCATTGTACTGTATATTGCATTTTTTAAGGCAAGCGATCTTCGACAGAGCACGACACTCAGTCTCGCATCGGTGGGTACTGTAACAGCAAGAGAAAGCACAGAATCGCGTGGGTTTCCAACTAGTCTCTTTTTCTTTGGGTCTTCTGTGACTTGTTACGTTTTCTTCTATGTTCTTTTTCTCTATACGCATGGGATTCCGTTGTTTAGTGGGGTGTTCCCAGCCAGTAGTTAGTTTTTTTCTTCACATTGTAAATAATATTATGCGGGAATAATGATGCGCGCGTTCTTTCTTTTCTTGTCGTCGTTTATTCAATGGTAAGAACACTGAGAATTTGGGCGCGTTCCTATTGAAAGAGCAGCATAAACAACACTTTTGATTTGCCTGTTTTTTGTGATGAATATAAGCAACTGGAAATTCGATAAGCTCGTCTGCTTGTTTTGCAACTTCAAACAGGAGCGAGATGGCTCCTGAAACCTATAGGTGTCAGACAATGTATTTGGGTAGAAAGCAGATGACATACGCTCTGTGTAGCAGGTGGTGATATAGATTTCAATGGGAAACATTAGCTTTAAGAGCAAAACTCGTCAATAGTAACCCTTGATGGATTATTATTTAGTTTTTGCTAAGAAATATTAACAGAAATAGTGAGAAAATGACGAAAAAGCGAAGGTCAGCGGCCTAAAAACCTGCGAAAAACCTTGTTCTGCACGGCACTGGACGAGTATTTTTCGACGAGTTTCTCGTTGGCATCGTGCCAACCGCCGCTTTGGTAGATACGGCTACATGTATGTATTCATATACCTATGCAACAACGCTTCATATCGGTTGAACCAAATGAAGCGATAAGAGTACCAGCCCAGCGTCGATGAGACTGCAGGCTTTGTGGGAGGGGGGAGGGGCTGAGGTGGGCGTCCGGGTATTATGTGCACCTCGGTTAGGCCAGGAGCGATGTCCTTTGTTGGAAAAGGCTCCACACAATGCCTGCTCAGGCGGTACAATAATCTTTACAATAAGCTCGGCAACGACCCCATGCGCTGTCAATTTATCCTGCCATTTGCCTACCAGTGTTGTGTTTATGAGGCCAACAACAAGGCTGAAAGGGTACTCATAAGATGAGTGAAAATTTTATGACCGTCTTACAGATTTCAAATCGAGAGTGAATATTTCTATGAAATTATGTCAAAAAAGAGTAGTGCTGAAAGATCGCAGAAGTTCTTGCGTGCAGGATTTAGCCACTACTATCTCGTAAATTTCCTTTTCAGGTGGCGATCTGACTGCTGAGGAAGACTCATATAAGCTTGCTGCCGAAAACCGACGCCAAAGTGACTACGATCCGAAGATTTTAGATGAAATACTGTTAGTTACTCGACCGAAAATTCGTTGCAATGGATTTGTAATAAGCTCTGCCTTGAATCGTTTAGGCAAATCATCGGATTACCTCATCTCAGTCTCGTCAAGGGTGTGTCGAAAACGTATGCATCGGCTCAGGCAATCAAGGCTACTCTCAATGAAACTTTTGCGAATAAATACCCGAATATTCATATAACCTACAGCAAACTCAGAAGGTTACCTTTTCTGAACGCTAGAGTTCTCGGCGATTTTATTGGGATTAGTATTATGGATTTAGCATCAAGCGAGACATCTTATTAATCGCAAAGGAATGTGATATAGACGAATACGCTGTGGCGCATGCGTTCGTCTACTTCGAGAGGATAATTTTCAAGGTAATCTTTTAATCCTACTCTTTTCTACTATAGTGTCGTTTATATTGAGGTTTACTAATTATGTGAACTGTTGTTGGTTTCAGGGACTCATTTCAAAGTACAATAGGAAGTTGGTAGCTGGTGTGGCTTTACTGGTAGCAGTGAAGCTGAATGACTACAAGAAACCTGATATTGTAAAGGTTTTAGAGGTACAATATTATTACATGATCCGATCCCTCATTTTGTGATGTCTTTTTATTCTCAGTCAAGGTGTATGAATGTGATTTTCAGTGTGCCGAGGAAAAGTTACGGATATCACGACGTGAAATGCTTTCATTCGAATTGCCTCTTTGCTCAGCTCTTCAATTTGATTTGTTTCCACCGGCTCATCACTTAGAGCCCCATCTTCGAAAGATTATGTATGATGCAGTCTAGTCATCTGCGCTTAATTTGTTAGGTTTTATTGAGGCTTTACTCCTGACGTTCTAGTCATGGCACTCTCGGGATTAGGTAATTGATTATCTTGTTTTCAGGTAATCACTGCTAAGTTGATTAATATTCATAATTTTGTACAGGCATGAACGTAGAATGTGCATATCACTGGAAAAAACTGGCTGATATTACCCATTGATAAGGTCTCAGGGCTACTTTTCGTGGTAAAGTGGGAGGAACGAAATTTCTCTATAAAAATTATTGGTGTAACTCGCATGGAATGCTTTCATCCTCTATAATCTTCCACTTTGTAGGCTTTTCAATGCGATATATGTGATAAAAATTTTTGCCATTCATAACTACAAATTTATTTCTCTAAGTTCCGCATGGCTTTCCAGCGCAGTCTTTCAAGTTTCGTGAAAGGAAAAAAGTAGGGAAGTCCGCCCTTAAAAGCCAAGTCCGATGAGCTCGGCCATTATCGGCCATGATTGAATGTGGATGAGTAGCTTCACCCTTCCAGTTTTAGTCCTAAAGTAGTAGATCGTGCGCGAAATGAGTGATAAAGAGCAGAGCTCAGGAGAAAACTTTAAACAAATCGATGAACTCCTGAAGCTTTTCGGTTCATGGTCGGAAGCTCTTTCCTACCAGTACCGCGACCTGGGTTTGTGCCTGACTGATGGTTCATATCGCTCATATCGAACTGATAATCCTAAATACTTTGCCCGTTGTTCTTTCTATGCTTCACACTTTGAAAGGATCTTTTTCAATTTAACATTTCCAACAGTAGGAAACTATTGTATCCGATGAGTATTCTGACAATTTCCAATGGCTTGTTCTGTATAAAATCGTTGTGATAATGTAAATATGGTGAACCATCTCAGGCCTGACATTTATTGTATTTTTCCCAGTTTCGAATGCCAGTTACCCGACGCCAGCGTTTTTCGTTGTGTGTTTACAGGAGTTCTGATCCATTTTCATAGATGGTTGGATAAATCATTTTGACTACAATGATTTTCCAGGATTACATCATGGTGAAAAACCGTTCATTTACCTGTCCATTCTTCCTAATTTTTTCCTGATTTAGATTACTCTTGTGTATTCCAGAGTCATGAGCAATTTCGAGCAATTCTATCAGGATGTGAGTTCCCGGCGTTTTGTTGATTCAATCTACTCGTTAAACTCTGCTCAGGCTATTTAGACTAAAACTGATCATGTAATTCTCGCTATTCAGTAGATGCTTGAAGTAATTGAAGCGTTACAGATCAAAGCCACGGAAAAAGAAGATTCTACGCTCACATCATCACAGCAACTGGATCGTTTACTTAGACCAGGTTCTACGTATTTAAACTTGAATCCTTTTGAGGTACTATTCCGGAGAAATCCATCAAACTTTCGCATTTTTCGTTTATTACTACTCCTTAAGGTACTACAAATCGATCCAGATGCCGACATAGAGTTAGCGAAAAAGAAGTTCAAAAAATTGTCTCTACTTATTCACCCCGATAAAAATCCAGATGATCGGGATAGGGCCGACCAGGCATTCGATAGTGAGTACTCATTCCATTTTTCAACGGCAATAAAGCTTATTTGGAACAAATTCGATGCTACCTTTGATCCATGTTATTTCAGTAATAAAGAAAGCTATGAAGCAAATTGAGAATCCGCTGGAACTCAACCGTTGTAAGGACTGCTACACAGAGGCGCGCGCTCGTCTAGCTATTGTGGTATGTTATATGAGCGTCTATCCTCTTTCTATAAACATGAAGAATTTTGTTTCTGCAGTTCAGCATTTGGAGATGGAGCTAGTTTCATAGTCCAGTCGATATTAAGCCTTAGCCATTGTCACATGCTCTGCATCTAGATATGCTGACTGTGGCGCACCTAATAGTCTCCTATATTTTGTTCTTTTAGATGTCAGAAAAGCGACGGAAGGTCAAAAAGGAGAAGGGCACCTCCGAGATCGAAGAGGATGATCCGGCGGTATATAAGAAGCAGTTGTGGATAACTGTTACAAAAGTTTTCGCCGATCGTGAAAAGAAAAGGAAAATGCTTGAGGAGCGAGCGAACGAAGAAAAGTAGGTTTTTCCATTGAGTACAGGGTGGGCAAAAAATCTAAAATAGTAGTTAGAAGCAAAAATGTTGCGACTTTTGGTTTCTCAGTTTCTGCAAAGATATTCAGCCAAATGGGTGTAAAGGTGTCGGGTAGTTTATTATCTGTCATTAGTTAAAGTTATACGCCCCAGGGTCCTCTGCATTCGAGGAACTCATTCTCATCGAACCTTGATCGTTCAAATGCGGAAAATAATAATCTCAAAAAGTGAAAAAAAAAAAGTGTGAAAGCACCATTATGCAAACTGAGAATATCGGTCAGTCGACAGGCCCCGACAGAGCAACAGTCAATGTGATTTTAAAAAAAAAGTTCAAAGCGGATTGTGTCTTCATGCAGCTCCTTTCGAAATATCGCTAAAAAACTAGCAGTGAAGCTGTGAGGAAGCTATTTAAGCGCCAATGAAAGCCAGGACCCAGCTCTTCTGTTGCCGAAGGTACACCATTTTACGCTATCCATGGAGAAAAAGCGAGTCTAGAGCTGCAACATGTTTTTTGAACGGTGTGCGTCAGCACGCTATCGAGACATTGCTTTCTCAAGCAGTTCACAGTGGAGTAAATTTTCGACTGTAAAAAAAAGATATGCGACGTGCGTTCTATGGAGGAAGTCAAAGAGATCCCGAGTCGGCTCCCGCTCAGGTAAACCAAGCCTTCTGTCCTCCGGGGACGGTAAATTGGTACCAGATTCGTCTGGGAGGATAAAACACTGACTTGTACATCGGCTGGACCCGCAAGTCTTTGTATAGGTCATTCAGTGAGCCACTACTATTTTTAATGGAAGTAGAATGCGCGGTCGATCCCAAAAAAGGATTGATAACACCGAAAACTTCATCCTTTTACCGTTTATCCATCTGAGGTACTTTCATGTCGCGATGTAGAGTCCCCATCTCGTTCCTGGAACTGTCCTCCCCCGCCCCCTCCCATTGCAAAAATTTGACGATGTGAACTTATGTAACTGAATTTTGTTGATAAACAGCTGCTAAAATCAGTTTTCAACTTATTTCCCTGCCATTTTTGAAGTAATGGTTTTGCGCGCACGTAATTTTGGCCCATCCTACTATTTAGTTGAAGGAACAAGGTAGCATCAATCAGAGAAAAAAGTAGGGACACGAAGATACGGAACTTAATGTTTACCATTCACACAGCTGTGCGTATTTTAGACGACGTACGGCAGAGACGATTCAGCAAGCAGCGGAGAAGAGGAAGTTGGCCGAAGAGTTCGCTAAGAATTATGAGGTGATCGACTTCTTGAATTACTCATATGGAAATTACTAATATGAAGGAATCCATTCTAGGAATCTCGTGATGAGCGCTCAGGCAGTTGGCGTAATTTCCAAGCGAAAAAAGCGAAACGTGAAGAGGGTGGTAAGACAATGCGAGGAGCTGCATTCCGTCCACCGAAACCAAAGTTACAGAAATGACATGATCTCGCTGAGCACCTTGCATTTTGTCTGGTGTTAACCTTTTCTCAGGCGTCTTTATTTGATAAAATAAGGCGCATTCGAATATTTGCATTGGATACTGTTTAAGTCTATCGCTCCCAGTTTCTTAACGATTCAGGTGTTCAGGTACCGGAAACATGTGGAGCCAAAGTACTCTGGACGACCAAAGTCACTGAAAACTTATCCCGAGACCAGATCTACCTGTGAACACGAGCAGTGTATTCTTTACGAGCAAATGTTTTTCGTCTTCACGCCAAACGGGTGTCACATTCGGATTTAGTAGTTAAGCTACTCCTAGGAAAGTTTTCTGGGTAAACCCACCGCTGTTCATAATGTTGGATCAAAATCAGCTCAAGTTCTCGAAAAGGGTAGTAAAGGGTGACTGGGCAAGTTTTGCGCTAATTTCGCTCGTTTCCCTGCACGGCCGATCATCACTGGGATACCCCAGTGCAGGAAGAGAGTCATACTTTGACGCTGACCAAGGAGGGTGTTTTAGGCGGGGAGGGGCGTGCAGAAGAAATATTCACCGTACTGTTTCCAGCTTGGGATAACCTGCTGCCTAATTGGTGCACATGTTTATGCGCGCAGTGTCCTTGTTCACCACACTCACAGCGAGCTGGTGGGGTGAGGGAGTAAGAGAATCCGAAGCCTTCGCATGTGCAGGTGGTTGGTCTAGATGTCAGGGATGTTCAGAGCAGTGTAACATTAGTGGAACACTGCCCTGGTTTTTGTGTCTCATCGTGGAGCGCGGTATCTCCGTCGAGTTGGAAATTTAGGAC